CTCACACACATACACATACACACGAGTTGTGTATAGTGAACATGACAACACAAAACACGGCCTTGGTAAGCCCTCAGTTCAGGCGGATCGGTGCGGGACCGTCCTAGCGCTCATGACATTGGGGATCCATGGCTGAGTGGGTGTGTAGAGTAGGTTTTATGGCTGTGACAGATTGGTTTCTCAGACTTGCTGACATTCTCGTCAGCGGTTTGGACCGACAGTCTGCTAGGATTGCAGGGTTTATGTGAGTAAAGTCGTCCACTTTCCGCAGGGATATCCCTAACTCTGGGCAACGTGGTGAGTCCTAATCCATCAGTCGAATTCATCCTGCTCAGATTGTCTGTGCGCAACCTCCTGATGAGTCGGTGAAAGTCCGACGAAACAGTATAGCACTGTCATCCTTCTCCTTGTGAGAGTTGTATATCGTGAACAGGACAACACGCACTTCACTCTCGAGTTACCTGCCCCGGGCGCGCGCACGCGCGCACACGCGCGCCCAAAAGTAATCTCCCCGTTGCTTGTCAGTGCGCGGTTTGCGTGTCAGCGCGCGACACTCACGATGGGCCTCGTCACACCAGGTGTCGAGAACTCTTTTTTCGACATTCGTGCATCGTCACACCAGGTGTCGGTGTCTTCTTTTTTTCCCAAATCTTTTTCTTCTTTTTTAGTCTCATATATCTCATCTTCTTGCTACCGGTGGTACTCATCCTCTCACTAGTATATGTATAGTACGGGGGAACACCAACCAACCCGGATCGCTCCCCAGCCCACGGGGTCGGTTGGCACCACAGCAGTGGTGCGAGAGCAAGGCTCTACCAGAGTCCCTCGTTACCGTGATGAGGGGTGGGCAGGCATTGCCGATGGGGGAAATCAGCGGTGGTGCTGCTCCGAGCGCACCTCCCCCTACCCCTCCCCAACCTCACATGGCGGTATCTAATGGCCACTGTTGTCGCCCTCCCCAACCTCACATGGCGGTATCTAATGGCCACTATTGTCGCTTCATCGCAACCAACAACATCAGCCAAGGTCCTGCCAATGCTGGCTTGGGGGGCCAACGGGTCATCTCTAGCTGGTACTGGTATTGTCTATCGCGTGGGCCGGGGCAACGCAACCCTAAGGTAGCCAAAGCAATGAGACTAAGAGCGCACACGAGAGAGAGAGAGAGAGAGAGAGAGAGAGAGAGAGAGAGAGAGAGAGAGAGAGAGAGAGAGTTTTGTTCCATTTGTTGATATGAGTGAGAGAGAGACAAAGAGTGAGAGAGAGAAAGAAAGAGAGATAGAGAGAGGAGGGGGGCCGGGCTACCACACACACACATAGAGAGAGAGAGAGAGAGAGGTGTTGAATGGCAAAATTAAAATATGGGTCAAATTGCGGCCGCGATCTATTTCACAGTTGGAATGATTTTTTTTACTATATTAGCGTTTTTCCTGGAAAGATCACAACAAAATCTATGAGTACTCCAATTGTCTATCGCGTGGGCGCGGGGAACGCAGCCCTAAGGTAGCCAAAGCAATGAGACTAGGAGCTCGCAAGAGAGAGAGAGAGAGAGAGAGAGAGAGAG